ACGTAACGGTAATACGTACTGGGCATTTCTTTATTTTACAGTTTGTACAACTAGTTATGCAGGGTTTTTTGTTACGTATCTCTCCGGCAAAATCCCATTTTTTTGTGAATAAATCTAAATTTCTTGCTAACAAACAAAATTCCTCTCCAATTTTTATTTTTCTAATACTGAATCTAACTATACACGAAAACTGGCTGTAGATTTGGCTAAATAATATTTGGAATTTTCTTAAGGGAAATTCTATTTCAAAATGACCCCCTGGTAAAAATTTAGGGTTAGGCCGGAAATATGTTGATGCCAGCCGAGGTTTTTACCACAAGGGTAGAATCGCCACCCAAAAAAATTTCGAAGATCACGTGAACTATGATTATCATGCAGTACCGCAGTATTAATATTATACTTAATTTTGATTTACTAATTCATGCTACGACATTTGAAATATGTATTTTATCTAATGAAGAAAAGAGATATTAATAAAAATATTTGCTTATGAAAATTTGGAAAATAGCTTATATAATGAAAATTATAGTATACAATTTCTTGTCAATTAACTGGATTAAAATTCTGTAAAATTGGTTACATTAGCTTGATTGAAAGCTCGTGGGAATTTTACAAGAAGCTCAAATATTAATAATTTGGTAATTATATACTACGTAAATTTATAATAAACAAAATTATTAATTAATTTTTTAATATAATATCTTAATTGTGTAGCAAGTTAAGGGCTTAATACCGGTAATATCTAATTTTTTAATTATATAATTTTTAAGTACATATTACTTATATATACTATATATAGTATAATTTTCTTTAAGTACACCAAAAAAAAAGCCCTCGGGAGACACCGAAGTTCCAAAGTTAAGATTTAATTTGGCGAACACACAATAATTTTATTTTTTTCAAAAAATCTTTGTCAAAATTAAATCTTAGCTCTCTGGAGATTCTGTGTCTTGAAGTAACACCCCGTGGCGTTATTTCGCGACGATACTGTATACTTTTAGAATTAAAGATAATTATATACTGTATTTAAAAGAGTATATATTACAATTATAAGAAATTTATTTAACAAGTTAGAAATAAAAAAAAAAAATACACATTTGATTAACTGTATACGGCTTTAAACCCTAAAATATAGTAGATATACAAACTCTCGTTATACCGTTCCATTAATAAAAAAACTTTTTAAAAATTCATTACATCGAGAGTTTTATTAGTAAATTCACTATATCAAGAAAATTTTATATAGAATGGCTTTGGGCTTCACTGTATGAGCGTTCACTATAACGAGAGTGTGTGGTATATAGTTGATTGATTCTTTCTAAGTACAGCACCACTAGGACTAGAAAACATTTACTGGTATCGCATTCTAAATGCAATATAATGAATCATGTACGAATTCCAATAAAGAAATATATATCCAAAATTACAAAAAATTTCAGAATACATATTTTAACATTTATGAACAACTTTATTTAATGCTCCCAATATTTGATATCTTTATTGCTTATATAGTACTTTTTTAAAAATCTTAATAAATTCATTCATCATATAATCTTGTAAAAGTTGAAGCAAACTTGTCAAGTACTCTTGGTCTTAAAGGTAAAAATGGTTGAGGTATGTATAAGTCATTACAGTCAGTTAAAGCCAGTAAAGAGTTTTGTAGTTCAATATTTGAACAATTCAAGGTATAGGTATTAATTCCTTTTTTATTTCACCGTATTTCGTTTATTAAGATATCTCTCTATTATAATATATACTATAATGATGATATTAAGGTTTAGACACATGAGCACTTAAACAAGTAGAATTAAGCATTAGTAACTGGAGGTCGAATAGTACCAGTTAGCAAACGATACGACATTATGAATTTAAACCATTATGCATAATATGTGGGAGATAATGAATTTCAACCAAAAAGTATTACATACTTAATGAATAAGGCTGTAGTTATTTTGTAGCACATTTTTCTTATTTATAAACACTGTAATCAGTTTTGCACCGCCTTTCGCCAAGAATATAATTAAAAAACATTGCTTCGAACATTATTCATTCCCAGATCTAAATAAATTGTCTTTTTACGAATGCCACGATTCATTTTGCAATTGCACAGCTTTTGCCTTTTAATAAGCCCAATTAATTTTATCATAAACAAATCATTTTGGCGACAAGAACGCCTTTTCTATTCTAAGTTTCTACGTATTTTTCATTGATATTGATATATGTGGCTATGCATTTCGGAAAAATAATGCTTATCATAATAAATATCATTGGCTAAATTGAATTACAGCGGGAATGACGTATTTAGTAAGAATGGAGAAAGATCTACATATAAAAGTCCAGCCCGTGCATATTAACATATAATTTAATGTCTTTTGTTGCATAATTTTTCTTAAACTTCAAAATTTATAGTCCCAAGTGCATTTGTTGCATTTGTGCACGAAATTTTAATTAAACCATTTAATTGTTTTATACATCTCCTTTTTTGTTCTTTCTTTTTTATAATTCTTTATCAAAATTTGTCTCAACTCTTAAAACTAGAACAAAAAATAATGGGTCGAAAAGGTTCTAAAGATAACGATGATATTTTAAATGTGTAAGTTATTTCGAATTCTTTCAATCCAAATCAAACTTTTCGTCAACTTAATCGATTTTCCATTCAAGACATGAGGAAACTTCGGGTGCAGTTATTGGAGTTGAAGCAACTGATGAAAAAGGTCAATTGATTGATGGAATTCATGACATGCGAATTGTTGATGATAAAGAAATCGCACTTGTTCTTTGTAAGAATTTATTATCATCATAATTATATTAATTTTTCATTAAATATCTTTTCTTTTTTGACTTGTATTTCTCTCAAATTTCTTTATTCATATGAATAAATTAAGATAAAAATGATTATACTTATTGTTGGGTACCAGTTCAGAATTTGAGAAACGCTGATGTTTTATTGGAAGCGCATAGAAAACAATTACAGGATTGGAATAAACGAACATCTCAAGAGGTTACATCCATTCTTATTAACTGAATCTTCAATTACATTTTTTACTTTATTACTTAATACGTTTATGATTTATAGAAACATGTAGATCAAGAGACGCAAGAACCTGGTTCTCTTGGCTTAAATAATGAAAATTTTACAAAAGAATCGGTGGTGAATCATCCTCATCAACAACCTGAATCTCCTGAAATTTGCTCGAGTAATCAATCTATCGATAAAATAGAAAAGTCAAAGGGCAAAAAACGTGTTCATGACGATGATGAATCGCAGCAAAATGTAGTTGCAAAGAGGCGTGTTGGACGTCCAAAGAAAAGTGCCATTACTAAAAGAGTCAAGGTTAAAAGACCAGTAGGGAGACCAAAAAAAGGTTTAAATCCCAATGAAATTTCAAAAGATAAACCAAAAGAGCGAGCTGAAAGAAAAAAGAAAAAATCATCTGATACTGAATCTGATCCTTGGGAAGCTTCTAAAGCTCCTAGTGATGATGAATTTCTTGATGACGAGAATGATGATGATGATGATTATGTTGTGCAAGAAACTATCAGTATGTCGATATTAAGTTTCAGATTTAACAAGTTTATTCGAAAAACTCAGTAACGAGTCCTATTAATTTCAGTATCTTCAAGTTCCAAATTCGATCGCTTACCATCACCTGATCGTGTTCCATCAGTAGATAAAGCAACTCATGAAGATTCCGATGGTTATGATTTGTGGGACGCTCCTGCAACGCCAGAGCCTCTCCGTGACGTTCTGTCCGCTAAAAGCACAAATGCGGAAGACTTACATAATGGTATTTATATAATTATTATTAGAAACTATCGTACTTTTATATAACTGACGGTTTGATAAACAAAAAATTGTTTAATAGAAATA